GGTGCCACGTCTTCGTTTGATCACCGTAAACCGTTTTCCAACTTCACCCAGCATGATATGTTTAGGTGGGCAGCTGCTCGGCATACGCAGTACATGTCCAATCCACCTCAGTCGACTAATGTTCACAACCTCATCAATTGACCTGCCTATCTTGTCTAGTGTTTTTCGCCTGACCTCAACATTGCTCATATAGTGATTACACCAAACACGAGCAATTTCATGAAGATACCTGTGATCAAAACACTGTAACCCCTTCATACCTTCTACTTGTAACAGCCATGTTTCACGCCTGGGTGAAAGAATAGAACAAACTGCGGCGCAGTGCACCAGTCGTTTGATAGTAGTCGGATATCCGCCAAACGGCACCACTGGTGACGCAAGTTTGCAAATGCCAAATGGCCCTTCTGTATCCAAGCTGAGATTTCGTCAGTAGTCCGCTCGTTAGGGCTGATACAACTCCCCAAGTAAGTGACGTGGTCGACACATCCCACTACTTCATTCCCTATGATTAAACTGGAAGTACTCACAGCAGACCGATGCTCGAGCATCATCTTACATTTCAATGGTGCAAAACATGTGCCAAACATACTCACATTTCCGCTCAACGCATCCAGAAGACCCTGCATTTTGTCAACGTCTTCACCTATCAGGACAATATCGTCTACATACTCAAAGTTAACCAGATGACCTCCAGGGAGTGGGTCAATCCCTGTGAAGTCAGACGTACCAGGGTTATTCCCATAAGTGTGTTCATAAGGGAGTTGAGTAGGAACGGTGACAGTGGATATCCCTAAGGACACCACTAGCTGTCGTCAATCCTGATGATGACTCTCCATAATCCCTAACACGACCGTGTGAGTTGGTAGAGAGCTATGATTAGCGTTAAACGCTTGCTCGGTACTCTATTCAGAATCAGACAATGCCACAACATCTCATGGTCGACAGAGTCGAATGCGCCTTTAGGTCAACAAATATGGTAAGTGTCAGCCACTGGTGGGTATGCCTGTGTTTCAGGACCTGTCGGAGGGCGAAAATATGATCGATAGATCCTCGTTTAGGTCTGAAACCTGCCTGATTTTCTCGATTTTTCTGTTCTCGAGCTTCAGTTAGACGTTGGATAACTATGGATCCTAGGATCTTGAGCATAATATTAATAAAAGTATTCCCCCTGTGATTGTCAGAGGAAGACTTTCTCTCTTACAGACTGCTAGCACCAGTGAAATACACCAGTTTGACGGCTCTGTTTCTGATTCCCATACTCTACGTGGTATCCTTGTCTCTCTAACTACCAATTTCCTACTTCCTTAAAACTTCAGGTGCTGATGCTTTGCATCGTCTCAGGTTCGACACAGCCTTTTAAACTTCAAGAAGAATTTGAGGACCGACATCCCATTCAGATTCAGGCTGGATGTTTGGCAACTAAAAGCTTGCTGTGGGCCAGTTGAACTGTGCTTCAAAGTATTCTGCCCTAACCTTCTAGTCGCCTGTCCTGGGAGGTTATCATCGTCCCATCCTTTCTGACGATAGTTTCACCAACCGTTATTTTCTTCCTACGGGTATCCTTAATAAGCCTAAACAGTTGGCAAGTGTTACTCAGCTATGCCTTCTACACCTTTCTCGCGGTCGACGTGAAGACTCAACATGTGTTTGAGTTGCTTTCGTTCTTCATCGTATTCAGAGCCAAGTGGAATCAGTCTTTTCGCATCAACCAGTTCGGCTGACCTTGCGGAAGTTCAATGATGTCTGATAGTCTTTGGGTGTAAGTTAGCAACTGTCTCTACTGCTGTTTTTGTAGCAGACTTGATATCACTCTAGTTTTCCTCAGGATGAGCACTGTTATCATATTCAGATAAATGCTTTGCTACCTACTCCCTAAATATGTACTTGATGTTCTCGTCTCCCAATCAACCACAGACAGGCTTTACTATCGCCTGCTTCCTGCGATCAGTGAGATATACACGAGCCCATACAAGAGCATGATCATGAGTTCAAACAGGCGCTCCAGAAATAGCGACAATCCTCCACTGATCTTCTGCAACGATGCCTGGCTTATAGCAATGTGATCTCTGTCCGTCGTTGATTTGAAGTCGGCGGACGCCATATGAGACAGTATCTCTCCTTATGCCTAAAGTTAACGCTGGCCAGAAACAAGTGATTGTTGGAGCGAAATTGCAGCAGAATCGATCATTGCACCAAACCGGCGTTAGTAGTTGCTTTAATTAGGTGGCGGATAATCTCGTCTAACAGCGAGGTGAAGGATAGAGAAATGGTAACTAAGTTCAATAAGAAGTCCTGTAAACTCATAGGAAGAGAGGAAGACAATAAAAAAATAACAAAACTCGGTATTACTGTCAGGATAAAAACAGTTTTTAAATACACCTGTGAAGGTTTGCCATCCAATAAAAGGATTTACTTCTTTTCCCTAAAATTCTACGCCTGACTTTACGTTGCTAACGTAGCAGTTCCACGACACACGATCAGCGCTAGACCTGAACCCTCGTACCCTTCACATTTAATGGCCATGTTTCACAGCCATACAGCAGAACAGAGGGAACCTCTGCATAGTATCTTCCACTCTTAGCGGACAGTCTGATAACTCCCCGGTGTCATCGATAGCGTAATTTCTCAAGAGCCAGTCGAGCCTTTTTTTGTCATCGCCTAGATCTCGTCGATTGCTGACTCATCAGATCCGACTTCTTAAGTGATTTAAGTGTTCAATCATCCCTTCCAGTGACAACTGAAAGCAACATGGTCTATCCGTGTCCACTTTCAAGTCGAAATTAATGAATGCAAAGTCAGTCAATGCCTTTTATTATATCTGAAGTCCGTTCTGGTCAAAAATAGGTGGTCGTCCTAGCATAGTTATTAGCACACAGTCTCCATTTATTCGACCGGGATTCTGAAAGGACCTCCTAGGTACCTTTGTGTTTGGCTATGCATCGCAACCGTTCACTACGACAACCAAATCTAAATGCCTAACTTTTTGTGGATCGCTATATAGTTTTGGGTAACATATTTCAGTTCATCCAAACTGCAGTGGGGTGGTATATAGGCAGAGAAATAGAGGCGCTAGTCACTTATATTTTTAGTTTTACTGCACCGTTCAGTCGAACAGTGCCTAGATGACTGTCAACTTGGATCCAATTAATTAGAAGGCTTTCTACTCTGAGGATTAACGCAGCAGTTATTCTTGTACGGCCTCCAAGGAATTTCCGGAAATCAGAAAAGCGAATTTTTCAGACTCACTACATTACGTAGGCAAGGATAAGTGAGTAACCGCACTTGGATCCTGTATGTGTGTTTCAGGAACAATGCTTGCGTCCATGATTCCATGTCATTTTCGGCTAGTGAAGCCTGTTGTCCGATTCGACAAAGTATGCCGAAATTGGTAGCTCTAGTATTTAGTTTGGAGTGCAGTTTCAGAAGATAAAATATATCATTCCTTAAACTTGGAACGTCATCATAAGTTCAATAGTTGGAAGAAATTGAAGATGATATAGGATTACTAACAGCGATACGAAGTTTGAAACAGTTAGTCCCTTTTATGAATTTCGATAGCATAATTAGAAGACAAAGTTTACCTGAACAACACGATGTATTTGCGCAATACATTTCGAACAATCTGGTCAGAAATTTACTTGTCAAGTCAGTTTATATTAAACCGAAGAATGGGAGGACAAATATAACAATTAACATAATAGGGGATTGAAATAAAAAAGATGAGAACGAACAGAAAGTGACATAGTTGATCCTAATCTTGATAAGAAAACAAAGTTTACCAAGGTAGGTGTAGTGTAAGAACAAATAAAGGTAGTTTCAATCTATGTATGGCTATGGCTGAGATTTGCGTGAGCCATAGCCAAGATTAGGATCAACTATGTCACTTCCTGTTTGTTCTCATCTTTCTTAATTTCAGTCCCCTATTATGTTATATTTGTCCTCCCACTCTTCGGTTTAATATAAACTGAATTGACAAGTAAATGTCTGATTAGATTGTTCGAAATGTATTGCGCGAATACGTCATGTTGTTCAGGTAAACTTCGTCTTCTAATTACGCTATCGAAGAGATCCGAAGGTTGAAAGGCAAAGATTTCGATGGTATAACTTAGAAAACTACAATGCAGTGGGTTTTTCGTGGATCACTTTTCAGTTGGAATCAGTGACCACTATATTTTTATACAACGTGGGCTGGCATCTGTTGGTGCTTCACGACGTCCTGAGTAGGGACTGAGAAACCATGCAACTGAGTGGCTTCACATGATAATAGAAATGGTTCAGGATCGAAAGCAGTAAGTGCTTACTTGAATATATTTTTGAAGCTGTTTCTCCAATAATCCATTTCTCTTTTCGTTCCATTCCTTTATCCTCTACTTCTCTCTACCAACAGTTCATTGGCAAGTGCACACACACGAACGTGGTTGTTGAGTAACAAAATTAAAAAATAACGTTCATATATTCATATGTTTTTAGGGAGATGACTACCAACCAGTGAGTCATGGGTTCGAGCCCAGTCAACCTACCGAGGTTCGGGCTGCTAGGCAGTACCATGAACTCTCACACAATAGGTATGGTTCACTGCGTACTACAGGACTTTGCACAAGGTTGCTGAGTGAATTTCCAAATGTATAGGTAGTGGATGGTTACATAGTTGCTCAGATTAAAGTTGACTGAGTGAATCTGAACTTGTAATGGTCGAACGTTTAAACCAATAAGTATGCCACAGTTTTATTGTTTTTTTTCACTATTTTTCTATTAGAACTACTTTGCACACCGTATCCTCTTGCAAGAACGTAATCGGAGTCGATCTTAACTCGCTTGTAATCGTTGCTTATGTTATCTAATACTGCGTTTTCTTTTGTTATCTTGTTCCATTGAAATGGATATAGGTAATCAATACGTCCAACGACGACAAGACCGTAAACTGACGGTAATAGTAATAATAATAATAATAATACGGACACACAAGATTAACAAACTGGGAATAACACAACACAATCAGAATGACTGTTGACTATTTATCTTGTGGTACATGTTTTGTCACTTTTCGTCTTTCAGATATTAGTATGTTTATTGAACATAAAAAAGCCAGTTGTCCATCTAAATCAACTCTCAATTCCAATGAATTGACTAGTAAGCATGCATCAAGACTATCACAACCGCCTACTTGTCAAGTTTCACTCACAGATGCTACCAATAACAATACTGATGAGAGCAGTAATAATAATGATAATAACTGCAATGCACATGAGTCAGAGGATGTAGTAACTGGGATTTTAAAGTGTGTTCAGTGCTTTCGTAAATTTACTACACCCTGGCCTTTATTATTACATGTACAAATCGAACATCAGCTAATATTTATCAATTCCTATGAAACATCATTTTCCAATAGAGAAGATGATGATGAAGAAGAAGAGCAAATGAAATTATCCCCTTTCAATTCTGAAGAGTTGAATTATGATGCTGTAGGTGATCACTTTGACAATAATAAACTGTATAGTAGCAAAGAATTACTTGTAAAGGAGGTGAACAATTTCGATTCTGATGCAGCCAAAAAAATAATCACAACAACTACTAGTAGCAATTGTATTACTACTAGTGCTGCTGATACCAGTCTCAATAACACCAATAGTGTATCAACGCAAACATATCTGATTGGAATAAAACAACGAGTTATTCCCCATCGAAAACGTAAATATTTTAATTGTTGTATAGGTGAACCAGCTGTGACTTGCAGAAAAATCAGTAATGTATCTTGTATCGGTTTTAAAGCGAATGATCATGCTCCTTCATCATGTTGTACAAACCTACCTTCTGGTATATGTCCATATAGTAATCCTATAAATGGTAATCCTATCGATTCTGGTGTTTTTGTTAGTGACTATTGTTGTACAAGATCTGTTGTTTGTAAACCGACGAATTGTACAAATGCACTGAACACCACTGAAGCTGTAGGACAGGATACATCTGGTTGTACTGCAACTGCTGTTGTCAGTTGTTGTATGCGTAAAGTTGTGTGCTGTAGTTCTGCGCCTGTATCATTGCCTATATATTTGATCAGTCGACTAAAGGTGGTAATCGTAGTGTTTTAATGCAAGAAACGCCTGTTAATACCTGCACTACTGCTGCTACCTCTAACATCACCACAATTAATAAAACAACAAAATGCTGTCCTTGTTCGCCGAAAAAGATCATCTCTAGTCAATCATCTGAAGTACAAACTGATTTTGATCCTGAATTTAGTTATTCTGATTATGCTGATTTAGCAATGCTGTTAACAGCGACGCCGACTTCAACAACGACAACAACAATACCAATTTCACCCTTAAGATTATCACCATTGCCACAGCTATTGTCATCAGAAGTTCACCAACTTAATGAACATTATCAAAATTCTAAAACTGATTTAAAAGTTGATATTCTTAAACCTTTTACTGAGATGAATGATACTTCTAATGAGGATAGTAGATGTTTAGAATCTCAGGTTAATGCTACTTCTGTTGATTCGAATCGTAATAATAATGAGCATAATTCAATCATATTCAATAATCTCACATCAAGTCTTGATTTAGACCTCCCATTGGAATCATTGATTGCCTCTTCTGGTGTTAATGTTACTGCTAATACTACGACTACTACTACTACCGCCACTAATTCTAATATCTTAATTTCGACTACTACTAATGATAATATCATCCCTACTGACAATTTTTCTGTACAGTGGCCAACAGTCATACAAACAAATATCGTTCCATATTCTAATAACACTAATGATAATCATAATAATAGTGCTAGTATTAGTAGCTGTAGTAATAATAATGATAGTAGATATTATTCTGATCCTATTCCACGACGTTATACATGTCGTGAATGTGGTACATCATTTCGTCAAAATGTTCATTTACGTAAACATATAATGGTACAACATACTAAACAGAAACCATATCATTGTACATATTGTGATTATACAACGTAGAAAAAAGTCATCTAACTGTACATATTCGTATACATACCGGTGAAAGACCATTTAGTTGTCGTGAGTGTGGTTATTCTTCAGCACAGAATTGTACATTGAAATCACATTATTTACGAAAACATCCAACTAATTTTATTGAATGTCATTATTGTTCTCAATTATTTTTCACTGAACTTGAATTATCTAAACATCATCGTGTATGTCGACTATCTTTTCAACAATAAATGAAACAATGGTAATACAATTTAAAAATGATTTTCACTAGTATCAAACTAATGTTAATATTACTGTGGTGTATTCGAATGCATTGCCAGTCATTTGCTCAAACATACTATTGTAAATCTGTACAGTATTAGGCTATTATTATCATTATTGGCATAGACTGTGATTATTTGTAGGTCGTTGTAGTTATCTGTTATTGTGATATTTGCTACTTTTTTTACTTTTATTATTACTATTATTATTATTATCGTCATTAATACTACTACTACTACCACTAGTACTATTTTTACTTGAGCTTTTCTGTCATTATAGACGTTGAAACTGTAGACAGTGACTTTGTGAAAAAAAGACATGCTTGTGTTCACCTATCAACTGAATGAATTGAAGAGATTACTCATCGGTTACTCGGTAGTGACCTCAGGTGCTGGTCAAGTTCTGTCAGATGTAGTTTGAAGTGTGATCAATAACCTAAGTGAATTAATATTGTTGTACACTTTATTCGGTGTTAAAATGCGAAAAACTAGAAGGAATCCTTTGAATTTAATTTTTAAAAACTTGTTTACATCTATAAATAAGGCGTATTAGCGACGTAAGGGAATGTTATGTAATGTTAGAGGTGTCGAGAAAGCTTGTGATTTCTTTGAGATATTCATTACTATCAGGAATGCCGTCGTACGTATGTACCAATCTATTGTGGTTGCAATTCGATAAATGTTGGTCACATCGGTGGCGTTAATTTGTTTAGTCTGATTGGCGTATTGTGATAATATGGTTGTTAGACCCGTGAATTAGTGACTCATCAGTTTAGGCTTATGACTACAAGCTATTCTGCTATGCGAGCTCGGTGAGTGAACCTCCCACTTTGACTTGAGTAACCCGTTAGTCTTCACACATTAAGTTTGGTTCATTGCCTGGGTACATAAATATGCAGTAAGGTTTTGAGTAGAGTATGTAATTCACTTTTGGCCTGTAGTTCGGACGAGTTTATTACAATCATTCAATTAGAGGGAGTGTCGTAGATCTTAATTTTGTTAGCTGTTTGAAAGCTTTTCTCAAAGAAGAAAGATGGAACGAACACATTTGAGGAGGAGCCAAGGAAAAGAGGTGATAGAAAAATGCTGAAATGATAAGAAGCGTATGACATTCGTTCGAAGAGCAATAATGTCAGTGCAGTTATACTGGGTTGTATTGGTCCTAGTAGTAGTTTGAAAAAAACTTTTATTCTTGTTTGTTATGGTGTGCGGTCTCTTACAAGCATACTCTATATACTTTAAGCTTTCCATCAATATGTACTGAGTTTCGGTGCTTTACCATAGAGCCATCTAAAATGTAGGCTGCAACACTGGATGAAGCGGGTTCGAATCTCAGGTGGGATATCAGTCCAGTCGAGGTTGCAGATACGCCTTGCTGACAAGTCCTAACAAGTACGAAACCAAGGTCCAACGCTTTCTGCTGATTACCTCCAGCCAACTAACATCTACTAATGTACACTGCGATGCTGAGCCTTCTAGATTTGTGGTCACATTGCAAATACCATCGATAGAATGTGATGTGTACTCAGGACTAGACAACATGAAATGGGTTACTCTTCAGTGACTAATCAATGTATAGATGCGAATTATGACTCTACACGTTACTACCAGCCACTTAAGTGAATTCCCTATTTTAGTTACATCAGTAATAATGATTCGTGGGTAAATAATTTTTGTGACAAGATGCTAAGAAGATATAACTTGAAATATTTAAAGCAACTGGTCCCTTTGATAAATTTAAACAGCCTAATGCGAAGACGCAGATTATCTGAAACACATGAAATATGTTATATTATTCTCAGTCATTACATATCATGCAGTGTTTTGAATTATGTGTACTTTATTTAAAAGCTTGCACAGGTCAAAATCAAAAGAGGTCAAATGAGATGACTAGACTAACAATGAAAATAGTCTCACGGTAATAGTACATAAGTTTTAACATGAAATCCGAATGACTAAGATAAGTTTAATGTAATAGTAGATTATTTTTAATCCCATGATCATAGCTTAAATTTAATGAACAATTCAGCCTGTGCTTAATTCCTAATACCGGTTTGTAGATAAGGTATCAGGCCTCTATTTTTATCGTTTGTGATATCGGTTGATTTAATCTTCTTCCAAAGCTATTTGGAAGAGTGATACAAGACTTTTAATTCCATAAATCGATATGTCTCAGTGTATACTTAACCGGATGTGCTAATATATTATCAAATAAAACGCTGTACATCACAATAATTACCATCTAATCTCAGGTTGGTATTCATCATGGATCGATATCAATCAGAGAAACATTGGAAACCTCGGAACACTAGACAGCTGTTTCATCCTAGTATGAGACTCGTCAGCAGTGTGCATCCACGACCCCGCCAGGAATATCGTGAACTGACAGAAGTAGGGAATATGGACTACTTGATTACGACCCAGTATCTCAATGGAAACGTAATGACTGTGAAACCTGAAGATCCTGGTTTCCATCTCTGGCGGGGTCACGGGTGTGCACTGCTGAGGAGTCCCATACTAGGATGAAAAATCTGTCCAGTTCTCCCAGGTTTCCAATGTTTCTCTGACTTTTGTCAACCCATGCTGAATAACAACCTGAAATCAATGAATAAATCCCCACAAACTTCGAAATTCATTACCATCCAATTCGTAAAAAACAATAGTCTGAACGACCAATATTCTTTTCAATAAGTGTTTTCATCAGGTTCTACAATTATAAAATGCATTTGTACAGTGTAAAATCAAGCGAAGTTAGAGGCAAAACATTTTCAAAATGTAGTGAGATTTAAGGTCTATAAGGAAATCGATTTTTCTATAAGTTTGTCAATATTTGGATGATATATACAGATGAAGAGTGTCATAGTAAATGAAAACAGGAGTGGTCTTTAGTTTACTGAGGGCCAAGGTAGGAATACCGCTTGAACATGTTCTTTCTGGATGCATAGTTCAAGTTTGATCAACCTTATTACGATAGCCTCCGCTATGTTGAGCAGGTGTCCTGAGTTACATGGGATATCGGTTTGGGAATACGATGGATAGCATTGGAGACCTTTTAGCATTTTTGTGATGCCATGTGTCTACTAGGTGCGCTACGACGGAACGTTTCAGCCTTTTCTCTTCTTTTCTGAACCAAACTGGTAAATGCTGTCGTATCCGGAGATGCGCCTTCTTAATCGTACACCCTATGTAATTTGTTCAAAAAGAACAGTTAAATTGATATATTCGGGATGAAGAGCTAAAATTAGATAGGCCCTCCATTTAATCTTGGATTTAACATTAGTAGACTACTGAATGATGTACAAAGCCGACCTACGGAAAACGTCCTATTGACTGCTCTAGCTAGGCGTTGTGATAGGACGTTACTTGAAGCGTCTCCGTTGAATTGTAATCGCAGAAACAAAGGCTTCCTGTCCGCTGTCTACAGTCGTCGTTTATGACTAATGTAATGGATGTTAGGTTAGCTTTGATGAACTCATCCGGATATCTGTTTTCTCTTCGAATACCGTGGATATATAGTCGTTCTTTCTGCACACACTTTGGAACAAATCGATCTTCCTCTAAATGCCAGATGCCTGATTATATTATGTTTACCTCATCAGCACGACGCTGAGAAAGTGTGTATACTGTGCTTTAGACGTCGGTTTCCTATATATACTTCACAGTATAGAGCCATCTTTTCTTGTCATTAGTACATCAGGAAAATATATCGAACCATTGGTTTCCTTTTCATATGTAAAATGAAGTGATGGATGTACGCTGTCGCAATGCTTCAGAATACAATGAATGCATAGACACTTATCAAAGACCAAAAAAGCGTTCATATCATCGACAGTGCAACTCCGTATTAGCAATTCGATCTTTCAAAGGACCATTTTCCAATTTCACCAGAAATGTGTCCGCAAATAATTGGGCCCAGTAAAAATACCATAAACACTCCGTCAACTTGTCTGTATAGATTTCTGTTGAAGGTAAACTGGACATTCATTACACATTTTAGCAATAGTTATGTCGATGTTTGAAGGTTAAGTTTGCAAAGTAGTGCATAGTCCTATGCCCCTCTTTCAATACTACTTCCTGATGTCTGCGTACCATCGATTAGTTGCCTAACTATCAACGTCACCTTTTTATAAAAGTATCATACATCTTTCACTGAGAATGTTAATTGTCGGATTCAATCTTGTAATCGGTTAGTAAAAGGCAGTGGTTTTTTTATTACAAATTAATTTACCAATTAAATCCCGTATTTGTTTCGCTAAGGTTTCATATCTACATTTCAGTGGTGATGCTCCAATGCCTTGTGTAATGAATACACTGGGGTTCAATATTTAAACGTTATTTTGCACAAGGAGGTTTGTTTCTAGATGTTAGCTGGATGAAGGCAGTCGGCGGGAAGCCCTGCGATCTTTGTTTCGTGCCCGTTAACACTTATCAGCAAGGCGTATCTGCAACCTCGATGGAACTGACATCCCACCTGAGATTCGAACCCGCGTCACCCAGTGCTGCAGTCAGAGACGTTACCACTGAACTATTTGGGCCGTGAGTGAGTACGATCGGATTAGGCACATTTATTGGTCACTGTAGGGTAATCAACTTCTTGGTTGTATTGTGTTCTCCGAGACGGGTTGTTTATCCGTGGAGCTTTCATCGTCTTTCTAGATGACATCTTCACCATTAACTTCAATAACCAACTTCATGTTGTCCTAAGTGCTGAGAAGTGCCGGAATGCTCGAAACCTAGATCCAGGGC